ATATATATATATATATATATGTATATATATATATATATATGGTTTACATGTTTAATATATAAATTCAATTTAGAAGTATTCATAATATTAATAAAAGAGCAAGGATAGTTATTATCATTGTTTTTCTTTTTCTTTTAATTTATCTAGTTTTTGTTGGCTTTTTTTTTTTTTATTTTTTATTTTCCTCGTTTGAATTTTATTTGCTTTTTTTCCCTTTTTGTTTTTAAGAACTTTATGTTTTTTATGTGTCACTCCATTGACTATTTTGTACCTATATAAGTGACACCTAACCAATTTCTGTAAATTTAAAATGAAAATTTGTAAATTTTTATTAATATGGTTAAATAAAATTTAAAAAAATTAAACATACACACAATTTAAAATAGTAGCAACGTATCTTTATTCTTCTTTAAAGAGAGATTACTAAGGTTTATCGGTCAAATGTTGAAACCAAATTTTGTTCTATTTGCGGTAATCCCACACAATAATTAATATGAATTGGTTATATAATACAAATTAAGGTTTTAAAAACTTTTAATTTGTTTTAAATTATAAGGTTTTTATTCTACATAAAAATGCTGCTTCAGTTCATCACTTGGAAGTCACACTTGAAATAGCTTCGGTACACCCCTAATATATATATATATATATATATATATATATATATATATATATATATATATATATATATATATATATATATATATATATATATATATATATTTATTAGGGGTTTATTTCCAATATATCCTGGCTATATATATATATATATATATATATATATATATATATATATATATATATATATATATATATATATATATATATATATATATATATATATATTATATATATATATATATATATATATATATATATATATATATATATATATATATATATATATATATATATATATATATATATATATATATATATTTATATTTATATATATATATATATATATATATATATATATATATATATATATATATATATATATATATATACACTTTACTTTTTAAATTTAATAATGATCATACTAATTCAATCACAATTTTTATCAATCTAAAAACATTTGCTTTTAGATTGATAATGATGCAAGTTTTTTTTTTTATATAGATTCTGTATTTCCAATATATCCTGGCTTATCGATACCATATCCTGTAAATCCACTAACACACATAAATTTTACTCACTCACGTAAATCCTGTAAATTCACTCACACACATAAATCATAAAAAAGATGTTTATTTTTTTATCTATAAATTGTATATTTTATATAAATAAATTGTATATTTTATATGTTTTTCATTGTATATTACTATTTGTATTAAAAATTAACTTTGGAAATATTGCAAGTGTATAATTCAACATACAATTTTGTTATGGTTAGGGTTAATCAACGTCTCTTTAATAACGTTACATATCTTTGCAAAATTGATTACTTTGTCAACGTTTCCGCAACATCTTTTACGACCGGTTTTCAACGTTGATTCAACGCTGACATGTTTGCTGGGATAATATTGAATTTATATTTAAATATATTTAACATGAAGTCTATCAATATCACCAAAAATGTTTATTTATACGATATAATTTCTCTTTACTAAGTAAATAGAAAATTTTTTTATTAATAATGAAATATTTTTTATAAAAGTATAATTAAATAAAATAATAACAAAATTTTTATTTTTAAAAATTTTGTTATTATTTATTTTTTTATTAAAATATAATTAAATAAAATAATTATATCGGAATTTTTATTATAACAAGTTTTGCGTAAACTTCTCATATGATATCAAGTTTTGAATTTAGAATATTATCAATGCGTGATTTCATTTTGATATCATATTGATATCATAAACTTCTCATAATATGATATCAGGGTTTGAGTTCAAAATGATATTAATGAGTGATTTCATTTTAATAGCATATTGATATCATAAACTTCTCATATTATAATATGAGAGTTTGAGTTCAAAATGATATCAATTTGTGATTTCATTTTGATATCATAAACTTCTCATATAATGATATCAGGGTTTGAGTTCAAAATGATATCAATAATTGATTTTATTTTGATATCATTTTGACATCATTAACTTCTCATATTATGATATCAGGGTTTGAGTTCAAAATGATATCAATGTGTGATTTCATTTTGTTATCATAATGATATCATAAATGTCTCATATCATGATACTATCTATTTCATAATTTGGTATCATTTTGATATCAATATGATATCAAATTCCTGACAGGGTTCACAGGGCCCTTTATAGTATTTACAGAAAAGAAAAAGAGAAGCAACATAAAAACAATGTGATAATGGTTGGATGTTGGCTGCAAGAGCATATTCAATTATGTTTACGATGTTTTTTGCATGTTGTCTGAAAGAAACCTTTAAAGAAGAAGTATTTGGCAACATCGGTAAAAAATTATAGGATAACTTTAGTCATATTTTGTATGATATTTCGCCATATAACTGAAAAGGTAAATTATTAAGCTATGCTAAGGCTATAGTATCACAATGATGTATTTTAGAATTCTCCAAAGACTTTAGCTAATAGAGTTACATCGGCTTTAAGTTGTTGCAATAGACACAAAAAATAACCACTCAAATATCATAAAAACAATCATAAAAACAAACTTGTATGCCAATAGTTTACATTGTTAATATTTTTTCTAAATGTCTTTGAGTGGAAGACCTCTTAGTATGGCAGCTGTTTTTGTTGCAAGGGTTATAGCAGTCAACAAATGTATACGAATACACCCTACAAAGTAGCAATACCAACTCAATGTCTGTCAAGATATTTTCAATCATGACTAAGTCTTGCTTTTATATTTGACAACAGCCTATTTACTAATTGAAATTGAACTGTTTATTAATTGAAAGCCATTGATAAACTGCATGACCCAGATAGTCGTGTATTTCTACATGGTATTTGGGCTTTTATAGAGTCGGCTGTCTCAAGATATTTTTATTCATGATTAAGCCTTGTTTTTATATTTGACATCAGGCTATTTATTAATTGAAATTGAGCTGTTTATTAATTGAAAGCCATTAATAAACTGCATGACCCAGAGAGTCATGTATTTTTACACAGTAATTGGGCTTTAATAATATCAGCTGTGTAAAGAAGCTTGTTTTTAACTCTTAGATTGAAAAAGCAACTAGGACTTTAGATTCTGCGGATTTATTTGTATCTTGAGCTCGCATTTATCGTAGACAGCACCTTGATACTTATTAAAGATGTAACAATAACGGCAAAACTTGTCCAAGCCAGTTGTAAACCGCAATGTGAAAGTCTGTCGTTTCTACAAATGAGGCCTGATAATCTTTGCTTGTAACTATTATTTTCTGGGTTTGCAAATGTAATATTAAATCCTCCAGTTTGGGTTAGAGACTCTTACAGAAGTACTTTGCTACATCTTTTCAACAATGCAGGACATCAGACTTCACTTGTCTATTAGTTTCAAACTCTTATATAGCAGTAGCTACAGTGTAAAATTTTTGATATTTTGAGATTAGATCTTTTTTTCTGGGTTGTAAAGTTGACCTATTTAAAACCCACAAATCATTTTGCTAGGTTTTTAGCAGATCATCTTAATAGAAGTAGGCTGTGAGTTTGCTTTACATTATTGTCTATTTATTTATCATTATAAACGTTGCTAACAAATTGACTTACTATTCCAGTTTCAGCTACATGTATAGGCAAAGCTTTTTTTTTTCAACTCTTCTGACTTTTGTATTCTAAAATCTCAGTTATGTTAGATATCATGACATTCATCATTCTAAATTGAGACCTAAAGAAAGTGCTAAGATAAAGATTTTAATGGGGTCTTTTTGATTATAGAATGAGAAGACAGCAACATCTTGATCAAACCAAACTTCCTAATTAGTTTATCTGTCTCATCCCTTTGTTTATTAGCTGATACAAAAAGATTGGATTTAGGGTAAAGCTAACACATGCTGTGGTAATTTGGTTTTTAGGAGTAGTAGCTTAGTTCTTGAAGATGGAATAGGTCTTGGCTTTGGCATGAGCGTGTTCTAGGTTTAGCCGTCACTGTCAAAACTTTTATACCTGCCTGGTACTCAGCAAAGGATATATCCTCTAACAAATTAAATCTTTAAGATTCTTTAGCCTGAGTTGCGGGTACCTTAGCTAAACCTTGCAAATTTGAACTTTTCTAGCACTTCCAATAATGGAATTTCTAGAATAAAATCCCTAATGAGTGGTTAGTTTGTAAGTAATAATGCTACAATTTTTTTTGTTATTAAAGGTAATTAAGATTTTTAACTTTATGGCAACTACTTTCTTTGGCGCGTTGCTAAAAAAAAAAATTAAACCCAGCAAAACTCACGGCTATTAGTTTTGGTACTGGCGCGCGTGAGTTAAGTGTATTTGACGCCCCATCTTACAGGCATATGCGCTGACCAAACTAGTTGGTAATAACATTTTTAAATCTGGCTTAATTTGAACTCTAGTTATTTTAATATCATTAAAGAGCACCATCTTTGCAGAAAAACAAGTATAAATAGTAGCATAGTGATAAATGACTTAATTCGTCAAAACTAGTCTAACAGTGAGGTTAGCATAAAACTTATCAAATTTTCTTTCTCTGACGTGTTGTGACTGTGTTCAACGCAAAAGATTGCGACTAAAGCTTACAATTAAATTTTACTTAGAACAGTAAAATTTAAATGTAAAGGATTTTATTGAAACTCGGAGAAAAAAAATTACATGGCATTAAACTTCCCTTCTTTATCAACTTTTTTTTGTATGTTTAATTTACTAATTATAAAAACATAATATGTAAAAAATATTAGCAGCTATAAATTTTTAAACTAAACTAAAATTTTTACTTGAGCAAATATTTATAATTATAAGTTATTACACAATATTGTGTAATTACCCTCCATCATATGAAATTCGTTAAAATTTAGCATAGTGTCGCAATTCCGAATATTGATTTCGTGCCAACTAGTATAAGATTCAAACAATAGAATAATATTTTAAAATAAAAGGATAATCCTTTAACATATATTCAATCTTTCAAATATCTTAATTTTATAGTTCAATAAACGCTTGGAAAAAATACTTAACGCCATGCAAAAGGTAAATAACAACTTATTCTAAGAATCTATATTTTTTGTTATTAATATATAAATTGTTGTACCATTTTCTTGCATTTCACTTTCTATGTATTAAAAAAAAAAATTAATTTAAATAAAATCTTCCTTAGCTTCTTTGATAAGACTTCAATTATGTTTTTTCTTAATATTTGTTTAAGTATCAGTTGCGGAATATTCGTTTTATGTCCTATACCCCTCAAAAGTATATCTATGGTATTTTTAGTTTAAGGCAACAAAAAAAAAAAATTTCAAAGTTTCAAATTTAGTGAATGTTGATTGAGAGAAAACGTGACGTAGAGCCTTGTTTTCTGCATTTGAGATTACAATTTTGGTTAGAAAAAAAAATTTTTCTTCTATTTTCTCTAAATTAAGGTCAAAAATGGTTAGTGGCAGAAGTTTTTTGAATTTTATATTTAACTTAAAATACCCAACTATCTTTTTAGTCTAATTAAAATTAGTCGAATAACTTTTTAGTTAGCTAAAATTACCCGACTAACTTTATAGTTAACTAAATTATCCGACTAACTTTTTAGCAAACTAAAATTACCCGACTAACTTATTAATCTAACTAAAATTACCTGACTAATTTTTTAGTAGACCAAAACTACCTGACTTAGTTTTAAGTTAACTAAAATTACCCGACTATCTTTTTAGTCTAACTAAACTTAGTCGTCTAACTTTTTAGCTAACTTAAATAAGTCAACTAAATAATTAGTGTAAATAAATTTAGTCGACTAAAGCAAGACTTAGTGCGTGAAAAAAAAATAATCTTTTGCATAAAACTTTTACACACGAGAAAGCTTTATTTCGGCGATTAAATATTTCTTTATTGTACTTAAACACTTTACTAATTATGAATCCTAGAGCCCAGACCAATTTAACTGTTATTCAAAAATAATGTTCTCAGCTAAATTCGACTATATTTATTTTTTCCCCAGCTCGATTGTTTTTATTTTTTCCCAGCTCAACTGCCTATGAAGTTGTTGTAACTGTTTATAAACACCCAATCAGCACGGAATGTACAAATAATGCCCTTTCGTCATTTAAACCATGTTTGGGTGCTTATTTAACGTTTATCTTATATTTTATATGTACGGCGTCCTATAAGTAGTGGGCAATAATTATCACACATCAAGAAAAATCTCCCCTGCCAAGACCCAGCGGACGGGGATATGGGCACCTTCCCACAATATTCTGTCGGTATTTTAGAAATTTTTAGACTCTGTAGGTTGACACTGAAATTTTTACAATATTCTGTCGGACAAACCCGAAAATGAAATTTTGCTTAAAAAAAAAAAAAAGCATTTTTTACCATAAAAATTGTAGGGAAAATTTTATGGTAAAAAGCTTTATTTTATTTGCACCCTCAAACTTCTTCCCCTTCTTTGTTATCCAGTACGGCCCTTTCCTTTTGCCATATTATAGGAATGGATTCAATCTCCAATTTTCACGACAAATCTACGACCCCCTACCCTTTCAAATATTGAGTTCTCCTAACATTTGATAACCACTCCAAATACAATCAAACAAAAAAGTAAAAAATATAAACAACAGAAAAAACAGTAGATTAAAAGTAATACAGTAAAAATAAAATAATTAGAAACATTCAGTAGAAACATTTCTAGTTCTTCCAAATAAAGAAGATATATTTATATGTGTTCGCGTAAAACTTACAAATGAGCATTAAATCCCCTTCCTTAATTAACCCTTTTCAAACCTATTGTAATGTTAACGTGACCACCACCACAAATACAATACGCAACATACGAACATTTATTGTTGCGTCTTTTCTCTCGACTATTATAATCCGCAAACACAACAGTTAGGAAGACAAAAGCATTGACGTAAACCCTAAAGGTAATCGTTAAATAAGTTATTATGAACATAGTTATTGCTTTCAGACTATAGTTGTTTGACGGTTGACGAGACTTACAAAATTAAAAAAATTGGTATTCGCATTTTAAAATGCAATTTCCGTAATATAAATTGTTTAATATTGTATAAAAGTTATTAACTGTTGAATAATTAAAACATTTTATTAAGTAGCTGCGGTCGCTTTTAAAACCAAGAGACTGTTCATGACTTTTCAATTACTAGAAAAGTGCAATACTTAATTTTTAAGCCCTTTAAATTACATGTGAAATCGGTTCGAAACAATTATCAATTAAAATTCATTAACATTTTTTATCATATTAGTTTTCATATTTTTTCATTAGATAGATAATTAAAAAAAAATGCTAAAGAATATATAAATAAATATTAAAAAAAAAAAAAATCAAACTATCAAAATAATATTGGTAAAATAAAAAATTTGCGGTTTTAGGCGACATAATAATAAAACCGCACATTTGAGAACATTAAAGTCACACATTAATTTTTTTAATTTTCAATTTTTTCATTACCGTTTTTTCTAAACACATTTTAAGTTTAAAAAACTATACTAATTTTTTACATTTTTGCAACAACAAAAAAATCAGTTTTACACAAAGAGTTCAAATACTAATTTGATAATATTTATGTAAGAACAATATGTTTTAGAAAATACTTATTACAGGAAAAAATTGCAGTATTAAGTTTAGTGAACTTAAACTAAATTAAAAAATTTCCAAATTTGCTTACATCAAACATCAACATTTGAAAACATTCAGTTGTAATTCGCTTGTTTCGCTTTTGTTTCGCTTCGCATACAAGTTGTTTAATGCGTAAGAAAAAAAGAGAAACCATATATCTTCTGCTAAACAATAAAGACATTAACTCAACAAACTTTTTATCACATTCAGATTCTATAACGTAATAAGCAAAAAATTAATCAGAAACCAAAACATACAAGCCTAAGTGCAACGTAATAAAATGGTCATAATACCATCTAGATTAAAAGTAGCCGTAATTTTACTAACCCACTGTTGCTATCTTTATTTTTTTAGTTTTTTTATTAAATCCTTTTGACCTAATTTGTAAGCTATTTGTAGATTCCTGACTATATTGACTGAATTATCTTAGTAATAACATGACGAGTTGAATATGTATAAAAAAACAGGCTATGTTTTAATGTGTATCTTTTTTAAATGTCTACAATATGTCTTGTGATTACTGCGATAAACATTGATTTTATTGGCTTATTGTGAGGTATCAAAAGGTATACTCTTTTTTTAAATAATAATCTAGTCATATATATATGATTGCATTTATTATAAATTAAATACAAAATGTTAATACTTGTTTCCATAAAAAATTACAAATGTTGAAGCCATTATAAAATGTTAAAAATAAAATAGATTACTTTTGAAAAATAAAAAGTCATAAACAAATAAATGATTTTGCTTATATTAAATTATTAATTTTAAAAGATATTCAAAAATATAATAAAATAAAGTTTCTGTCAAGTTTTAGTTTTTTTTATCTTTATCAACTTTTAAAAATACTTGCTAAAAAAGTTGTAACAAATATCTAAAAAAAAAGTGAATAAATAATAATAGAATAAATAAAAAATAATAACTGGAGTCACTACACAAGTCAGTGTTTGAAATTCTTTTATAACAGGACTTTGAGTTTGTATATCAATTATTAAAGATGAATTTGTCTTTCATGTAGCAAAATAACGATCTTAAAATTTGTTCAAGTGTTTTGCAATTATAGTAGCCATACTCAATTCAGTGGCAGTTGGAAATAAACAATAAACTGCATCAAAAATCAAATTTTTAACTGGTCTTATTAACCTACGCTTTTTATATGCACCAGTTCGATTAATGCTGCAACATAGCTTGTTGCAACATTGTTTGTTGAACAACTTTTTTAAAGCATTTTTTAAAAAGTCACTTACATATCTCTTACCAACTTGCTTCATCTTTCTGCAAATGATATCTTTATCATTAGAGTTAGTTATTTTATTTCCTAGTGAGTCAAACTCTTTAACTCAATTAGCTGATAAATAAAGTTATTTATTTAGTCTAACCCAGTTTTTTGAGATGGTAAAGAAAAGGAAGAAAATGAATGTAATAACGGTTGAATTTGTAAAATAGACTAATACTCGGATGGAAACACTATCTGTTTAACTGGCAAGTCATTTAGTTGATCCACTAAGGCAGAGACAGACAGAAAGTTCTAAAACAAGATTAGAAATGATTATGAGAACTCTTAAATGATATAAAAACTCTTTCACAATATTTTAATTATATTATAGTGTTTTTTTCTGAATTTAAATATTGTATCTAAAAACGGAAACAAACCATAAAAATGAAACAAAAAAAGAAGAGATTATTTTTACAAATGGGATAAAAAACTTTAAAATGTATACTTTATTGGAATCAAAAAGCTTTGGTGGCTCCTGCAATAACAATGATTACAAAGACAGTTCTTCAAAAAGGCTTTTTTCTTTTCTCATTTTGTTTTGTTGACTTATAGGAGTTTTTTTTGTTTTTGTTTTTTTATGTATTAAAATCAATTTCTATTTCTGATTATGCAGTAAAAATACATGCTACAAAACATGTAACTTTTTTAATATACATACAGTTATAGTTTTATAAAATGCGGTAGTGGTGTAGTGGTAGAGCGCTCGCTTCATAAACGAGTGGTTCCAAGTGCGATCCCCACCACGTCCCTGGTAGTACCGCGCTCAATTCGTTTCTCTGCGCAGCGGCCTTGTTCGTCAAGGTTCGTGTTTTGGAGTTATAGAGTTGAGACAGGGTTATAGCCACAAAATAAGTAGCCTCCTCGTCTGTAGTGGCCTTCTCGGTCTTGAGGAGGTGAAGTAAAATTAAAAAAAAAAAAATTATATACATATCATAAATCATCTAGGTAATGTTTTAAAGACCCAGAAAATTGTTTGGGTAAAATACCCGGAATATATTTTTCTTATTTTCCTTTTAATTTTATTTATAGCTGAGTTTTTTTTTTGTCAAACTTTTTTTTATTTCTTTATGAGTGATCAGTGGAAAAGCTTTAAAATATATATATATATATATATATATTATATATATATATATA